GGCAAGTGATGCAGAGCATTTTCTCATGTGCATGTTGGCCATGTCTATGTCTTCCTCTGTGAGATTTCTCTTCATGTCTTTTGCCCATTTCATGATTGGATTGTTTGTTTCTTTGGTGTTGAGTTTAAGAGGTTCCTCAAAGAATTAAAAATAGACCTGCCCTACGACCCAGCAATTGCACTGTTAGGGATTTACCCCGAAGATTCAGATGCAATGAAACGCCGGGGCACCTGCACCCCGATGTTTCTAGCAGCCATGTCCACAATAGCCAAACTGTGGAAGGAGCCTCGGTGCCCATCGAAAGATGAATGGATAAAGAAGATGTGGTTTATGTATACAATGGAATATTACTCAGCCATTAGAAACAACAAATACCCACCATTTGCTTCAACGTGGATGGAACTGGATGGTATTATGCTGAGTGAAGTAAGTCAATCGGAGAAGGACAAACAGTGTATGTTCTCACTCATTTGGGGAATATGAATAATAGTGAAGGGGAATATAAGGGAAGGGAGAAGAAATGTGTGGGAGATATCAGAAAGGGACACAGAACATAAAGACTCCTAACTCTGGGAAACGAACTAGGGGTGGTGGAAGGGGAGGAGGGCGGGGGGTGAATGGGTGACGGGCACTGAGGGGGACACTTGACGGGATGAGCACTGGGTGTTATTCTGTATGTTGGTAAATTGAACACCAATAAAAATTAATTTATAAAAAAAAAAGGTGATATTTTTTCTTTATACTCTCCATACTTCAAAAAAGTATTATTATTATTTCTAAAGATTTTATTTATTTATTTGAGAGAAAAGGAAACAGAACATGAGCAGGGGGGAGGAGACAGAGGGAGAGGGAGAAGCAGGCTCCCCAGGATCCTGGAATCATGACCTGAGCCCAAGTCAGAGGCTTAACAAAGTGAGCCACCCAGATACCCCTCAAAAAATTATTTAAAGCTGTTCATCATTAAAGACACATATACAATTAAGGATGATAAAAATGGAAGAATTATATAGAAAAACTTAGTCTTTACAGTTAAACATAGTCCTGGAACTTCCTTTTTTTTTTTTTTTAAGATTATTTATTTATTTATTAATGAGAGACACAGAGAGAGAGGCAGAGACATAGGCAGGGAGCCTGACGTGGGACTCGATCCCAGGACCCTGGGATCACAACCTGAGCCAAAAGCAGACGCTCTCAACCACTGAGCCACCCAAGTCCTGGAACTTCTTAACAACCAAAGCAGGAACAAAAAAACACATTGTAATTTCTACTGCCTGATTCATCTAAAAGAAAGAACTTTCAAGGCAATAAATTCAAAGAGGTATTTAATGTTTCTTTAACCTAAGAATATGAATCAACATAATAAGGGATCTCTTCAACAATACAAGTTATTAATGATAACAGTTTATGTTTAATATGTACTCTATTTTCTATATGTTTAATATGTACAGCATTTACTATATGCTAAAATGATCTTCTACAAATACATGAATATAATCATAAAACTTTTAGCAGAGCTGAGTCTAGAATATTAATTTTCAGAAAATTTTGTTTCATTCCATTACATTATCCTATACTTCCCATATATGGAAGAGAATTTGACCTTGGAATTACACATGTATACAAACAATGTGCAAAGCTTCCATAAAATACACACCACACAAACCTTGGCTAGTGCCAATAATCCTACTGAAATAAGAGATGAATATATAAAGAGTAAATAATTTACTTTCAGTAAATAAAAGTGATTCCATTACTTAAATTGACATAGCATCTGTCAAGCTAATGATTTACTACGTTTTGCATTGGTTACCCTTGTGTATTTCTCATGGTCTATCAGGTCATGAATTTTTTGTTTCATGATCTCTTCCCTAATCATTATGCATCAATCAATGCTCAGAGTACAAAAATAAATAAATAAAAATGAGCCTACAGTGAAAACAAATCTGGAATTTAAATTTAACACCAGAAATCAAAAGTCTATATCAATATAAATTTCCAGTTATAAAATAAATAAGTCATGGGGATATAATGTACAGTATGGTGACTATAGTTAATAATACTCCACTACACATTTGCTAAGAGAATAGATCTTAAGAGGTTTCATTACAGGAAAAAAATTTTTCCCAAGATTTTATTTATTTAGTTTAGAGACAGAGAGAGAGAGAGAGCACAAGTGCAGGAGTATGCACACAAGAGTTGGGGGAGGGGCAGAAGGAGAGAGAGAGAAAGAATCTCAAGTAGACTCCGTGCTGAGTATGGAGCTAGATGTGGGGCTCGATCTCACAACCTCATACGAGATCATGACCAGATCCAAAACAAAGAGTCAGACATTTAAGCATCTGTACTACCCAAATGCCCCAAGAGAAAAATATTTGTGTGACTATGTAAGGTGATGGACATTAACTAGACTTATTGTGGTGATAATTTCACAATATAAATATCAAATCATTAGGCTGAACACCTGAAACTAATATAATGTTATATGTCAATTATACCTCAATTAAAAAGTCTGTATCAACATTCCAAACAATACAATTTATTCCTTTTCTCCTTTTACAAATATACTCGGCTTTAAGTGCTAATAATTTTACTAGGTACATTAAAATATGAGGCCTGGAGGAAAACCAGCAGTCCTCCAACTGTAGTAATACCAATAGCTTCCAGCCAACTAGAAAGAACACCAACAAATATATTACCACACTTGGAAACCCAAGAAACTGACAGCTTGTTTTTTTTCTTTTAGTTAATTAATAAACCTGAATGAATACACTCATAGTCTAGATTGCTTTATGTTTATATTAGATTAAAAATACATAAATTTGGATGAAGCAAGTCATTCTCTTCCTGCAAATCAATACTGAAAATTTATAGATATAGAGGATTATAACTCAATGATTCATTCAGCAGTTCCCGAAACTGTGAGCCTTATAATACTCCCTTCCCTAATTTTGGGTCAGCCAAAAAGTTTAAATTAGTAGTTCTTAAAGGATGGTCTCCAGAGCAGCAGCCACAGTATCATCTGGTGTGAACTTGTGAGAAACGCAAATTCTTGAGCTCTACCTAGACCTCCAGAATCATGATTCCTGGGGGTGGACCCCGGGGGTCATGGTTGGATGCATTCTCTAGGTGACTCTAATGCCCACTAAAATCAGAGAACTGACCTGAATGGATGGCTCCTCAAAACTTTTTTTTTTCTCTGTTGCTTCAGTTCATTCCTAACTTACATCCTCACTCTTAATTACCAACTCCTGCTGGTTATCCTAAATCTCTTCGCTGGAAAATGGCACTCAAACACTGCTTACATAGTGAGGATGCTTCGTCAGTTGTCACTGTAATGCCTCAACAGAGAAACGTCTGTGGATTTTCTGCCCTTTCCCAACCCCCACTGCTCATTCCTCAGCTGTAGCTGCCGTGCACAGTGGAGATGTATAGCTTTTCAAAGATCCATTCAACTGGCGATCAAGACTGCTTGACTCATTAGCTGAGGTCATGCTCCACAAAACACCTGTGTGTGTGTATTGCCCGTGTCACAGCCCTTCTGCCAACTTGCCACACGAACCTGCTGCTCATGGCTTCTGAGGCTGCCCTCTGTGGATGTTCGGGGCCTTGTTTGATCCAGAATGGTAGCCGATGGCCCTACATGACCTAGGGTCCACTTCTGTAGTGGATGCCTGTCTTAAAGGGAAGCCTGGGGCTGAAAGGGTGAATGGTGTTTCCTCAGGAGAGCAGCATCCAGGACTACAAAAGGTAAGCCAATGATGGCCCACACCCAACACTTATAGATGTATCAAATACAGAACTAGAGAGGATCTCAGTTTTTAACAATCACTTGCATCAGAGGGAAATGAGGCAGCGTAATCCCGAAAACTGTCTCCTGTTCTTCTCAGTACCCAGCACTAACTTCCACTTGGTTGGCTCCTCGGTTTCTAGAAATCATACTGCTGTACTTGGGTATGTCCAGAGAGAATGAGCTATGTAAAATAGAAAACTTATTGCCAATGTGCATTTAATGCATGTTATATGGACATGTGTAAATGCAAATGTAATCAATATAATTATTGATTAAATTCCAATAAATTTAGGACAATGTACTGTATCTGTAATATGTATTTGTAATATGTTACTAATTTCAGGAGAAAAATATCAGTGGGTCATTTCTCTTATATTTCATAATCTTTAATGATTTTTTCATCCTTCTTTTTTGTATTACTAAAATGCTCAATTAATAAGCCCACTTGGTTTGTCAATCTCTGCCACACTGCTGTAAGAATTAAAGGACATCTTCACCTCTTCTATAGTTTTCTCATCAAAAAATGGAGTGAAGTTTCCAAAAATGCTCTTAAAAGGGTATGGTGTATGAAGTTGTTCCCAGTATCACCCCTCCACCGAAGAATGACTCTGACACTCTGAAAATGACCTGGCACGTCATGCTACCCTGGGAAACCTGAAGAGAAATAGTGAGTGCAGGGACCAGGGAGGCTCCTGGACCTAATTCATATCAGCTATAATCTGCTGCCTTCTCTAAAACCAGGAAAAGGGCTTATGGCATCTGTACCACCAGACTCTATGACCCTATAGACATTCCCCTGGGGTCTCATTCCCCAGTGAGAAGAGTCCTGAGCTAACACTACTGTCATTTTGAATTAGTGCTGATACAGAGCATCACAGCCAACTGTTCTTCTCCACCTTGTATTAAAACAGGTAGAGGGGAGAGGAAGTGCTAAGGTCACATTATTTTTTTAACCTTTGCAGAAATAGCAAGGCCAATTCCCAACTACTCAATAAAAAGACTCTAATTCTTAACTTATAATAAGAGAAAAGCTCATCTCAGAACAAGCTGTTATTTCACTGAACAAGAAAAATCACTAGCATCATTATTATGTGCTTTTTGTTTAAGACAGCTCCTCTGATCAAGAACAAGTTTTATTCCTCTCTCCTAGAAGGAATCTTATTTCTCTCTCTCTCTCACATAAAGCTCTCACAGGGAATTTGCTGTTTACCTCCTTCAGATCCTGCACAACGGCTGTCAGCCTCTCATTTTCTGCCTGGACATTGGTGACCACGGCCCGGCTCTGTTTCAGTTCATTCTGCATCTCCAAGATCTTCCCCAGGTAGTAAGCTTCCTTCGATGCAGACTCCTGCAGAAGTGTTTCCTCTCGAGTCTCTCCATCCTCAGCAACCTTCCGGTGGATGGAGAAGGATTGCCCAAAGGCCTGTAGAGTATTTGGGGAAAAAAAAGAAAGAAAGAAAGAGTGCTAGATGAAATGCACCATAGCATTATTGAGACAGACTCTGGGAAATGTTTTGTTTTGCTGTGTATTTTAGAATTGCTACTCTACAAGACCTCCAGAGGCAAAACAACACATTTTATGCAACAATCTAACTGTTCTGATATTTGAAATAATTCAAATTCAATTTGGAAGAAAAATTTTAAATTTCTTTATAAAAATATATATAATGAGTTAAAGAAAAACACTGCTTGTTTTATGTTAGTGTTTTCTTAAGCTGATCCTATTAAGGAAAACAGTGCTAATGAGATCATCAAAATTCACGTTCTCACTTTCATTCTAGAAAAAAAATCCCGAAAACATTTTTCAAGGAAGAAAATAATGGCTTCATTAGCTTTCTGATGCATTAGCGGTAAGAATGCACCAATTACGAACAGCACTCTGAAGAGAAAACAATCCCCAAATGGCATTCAAATGGCCCAGTACTACAAGAAAACAAAACAAAACAAACCCCTCCAAACACATGGAAATGTACTCACTGTATGAGAAAATGTCTATATCTACATATTTGTGCAAAAAGAAATACAGAATAAACCAGAAACTAAGGAAATTGGTAAGCCACAGGGAGTGAGTGGAAATGGGGTGGTGGTGGTATGAAATGTGATATAAGGGATGGGGGTTCTTTCCAGAGCAAGCCTTTTCATACAGGTCTGACTCTCAGAACTATAGTTATGTTTCACATATCTTTCAAATAAATTATAACAAAAACCAACCTCTGGGTATCAGGGGACCCCATGCGGAACACAAACAGTAACAAATGTTCCTAGCTGTACCACAAATGAACAACTTAACCACACTGAAAGGGTTGGAGAAGAAAAAATCTGGCCTGAGTAATTTGGGAAAGACAAAAAGAACCGTACCCAACTACTGTAGTCAAGTTGTAAATTCTCACAGGGATTATGGGATCACAATTCTAAAAACGTCTTTATATGAATACTAGGGTTGACCAAATAACTAATTATATTATCAGTAATGAATGCCAGGTTTCTCACTGTTGGAGAAAGTTACAAATAAGGAAAGGGAAAATTCTAGAAAGAAACTAATATACTGAGCTATAATTAGAAGTATCGAGATGAATTTACAGTTTTTAATAGGTAGTTAAATATTCATAGATAGATGGAGAGAGACGTTTATGTGTGGGTATATACATGCACAGACAGGCCACTGAGAAGCACAAAAGCCAGAACATCTCAGCAGCAATGAGCATACCTGCACCTGAATTTTGTTTCTAAATATCAATCTCCAACAAAAAAGAATTAGGGTTCTTTGGAGAAATGATCCATTCTCAAGCTACAGCAAAATGAATGAACTTCATACATCTTGTGGTGCCAAAGAGTAAATAACAAAATGCTTTCAAAAAATAATAAGGATCTGTCAAAGGATGCAAGAGCCTATCAGGAGGGGCTACCAATGGCCAAGTCTGGGATAATTTGGGCAATAAAATAAATAACTGTAGTAATGAATTATAATCTATAGAATAATATAGTTGTGAATCCACATTGATACAATAACTGAATAAATGAAGGAAGAAGGAATAGCTCTTCTTTACAATAGAATTCTAATTAATAAGTGTAGTAGGAATGATGAAGATAAAATATATCAGAATTTGACAAACACCAAGCAATCAATGGATTATCAGGTAAGAGTTATCAATGGAATACAAAATTAATGTGCCAAAGTATGATGAGAAATAGTATTTACATAGTCTTAATACTTATTAGAAGGACACAGTATGATTTAATGATTTCAAAGACTTCTTCAAATTTTATTCATAGAACAAAAATTTAGAAAAATAATAACCTGCAAACCTCTGACTCAATAAACTATCTTCTTTAAAATCTCTACATGGATCAAAATCAAAACATGGTTCCTAACCATCACTGAGAAGAGAAACATTTCGGGATGGATGGATAGATGGATGTTCATCTGTACAGTGTAGAACACTCTTGGCATTTGGCTGGTTAAGTCTCTGAACAGAAAGAAATTCTTAAGTATTCAAATTTCTATTTGTAGTAAGCAAATAGACTAATGAACAGATGAAAAATTATCTTCACAAATGATTTTACTTTGCTTTTCCATCAGTAATGGTCAGATTTGGTGAGGTCGGGTCTGAATTCATTACCCATTAGAATGCCTTTGGAGGGGAGAGATTTGGCAATTTCCCTGTGATGACCTGGTGAAGTCTTTACCAGACCCTCACCCTAGCAAGGGAACCCTGACTATACAGTTAAGCATTAGTAAAGTTTACAATTAGCATGAACTGTGTGTCAAGCACCTCAGCCAGCTTCCTATTTAAAACATACTTTTCCACTTCTTTGTACAGAAAACTACAAGGCCATTTTCTAAATTCTGCCTGAGTGAAATCAATAGACTTACGCACTCAGAATACGGCTCTCATATTATTTTCAGCACATAGGCAATGGTCCCTTGATAGGTAAAACAACCCCTAAAGTCTTAATAGCAAGTGAATTTGCCTTTCCAACCCTGACATAAAGTTTTTAAAATTGTACTCTGGATCCAGCACCAAAGGAAATAATTTTTCAGATACATACATAGAATATATTTTCAAAAACGAATCAAGAATTGAAATTGCAAATATAAACATTTTGATGACTCTTTTCATTTATACTTACTGCAGCTCAGAAACCTTAACTGGCCATATGGGTTTCCAAAGTTAGTCATTATTTTTGTGAAGAACTTGGCCCCTCTTTGGACCAGATTTTAAAACCAATGTAAGTATGCAAGGTTATCCAAGGACATTAACCCTGGTGTTTTTCACATGAAATAGAAAAATAGTATCAACACTGCACAGGCTATAGATGCCCCTGATCTGCATTTGCAAATCCACTGAGTACTAACATAACTCAAAAAATATCTGCATTTTAGAAAGGGAGAGTAAAGGAGAAAACACTCCTACTTTACCTAATTCCTGTCAATAACTAAAATGGGATATGATGCCAACTGACATCTATCATTTGGCTAATTGTTTAAGTAGATTTACCAGACTTGTCTGGCTCTGCCAGGTACCTTCTTCCTTCCATAACTATTCCAAGTATGTCCTGACAAAGCTGGGCCCAAGAGAAGACAAACAATCTTTTTTAAGGCCACTGAAGCTGTATCCTTGGCAGAAATCACAAAACTAGCTTCAATGTCTATTTATAGGCAAACCTAGGGTAGTCATGCTTCTAGTTATATTTCGTTCAGACAGCAAATTCCTTTTAAGTTGCAATCACTTCATGGATAATTTTCATTTGAAATTAATTCAAGTAAACTGACATTTCTATACAATTTTGGAATGTATTATGATTTAATTGTACAATGTTACCTTCATATAGTCCATTGTAATGTAGCACAGCTGCTTTCAATTACCTGCCAATCTCAGCCAATTTGTTATATAGTAAGTTCTTTCCTTTCTCATTCTACTCACATGACTTCTTAATCCAAAGAAAATTGATATTTTTTACCTTCATGTTCAGGACAATACATTAGCTGTTAAGTGGCATTTTCATACTTATCATCCTTCCTAATATGAATGATTAAAGAAATAAAAGTTTGGCTAGTATATTTAATAATGTCCTATTATCTTAAAAATATGTGTCCTTGGTTATAGAATTTTCATTCTTTCATCTTAAAAACTGTAGCAGAACAACATACTAAGTCACCTAAGGACATTAAAAAATAGTTTTATTTGAACTGTAACATTTATTCATTTGTTCATTCACTCAACAAGTGTTTACAGAGAACTATAACAGCCACTGAAGTGCTTAAGGCACTGAAGATCTATATTCTAGAAAAAAGATCTCTGCTAGCAGGAGCATATATTTTAGTGGAATATAAATAAATTAATTGGTATGTGGCATAATGTCTGAAAAGTTCTAGAAAGAAAATGAAAGCCAGGGTAAAAGCAGGTAAAAAAACTGCCCAATAGAACTTTCTGCAAAGATGTATCTGTGTTGTCTACTAACCACTAACCACATGTGACTAATGAGCTCTTAAAACGTGGCTCTTCCTCCAGTACAAAGTTGAATAGAAGAGGTAATAGTGAACATCCTTTTCTTATTTGGTGCTTGGGGGAAGCAATCTGATTTGCACTATTATCATGTTAGCTGTGGGTTTTTACTAAATGCTCTTTATCATTTTGAAGAAATTGTCTTATCCTCCTAGCTTGTTGAGAGTTTTTATTATGAGCATTCCCATGTTTTTCATATGCTTTTACTTCATCTATTAAGATAATGTTTCTGTCCTTTTTTCTACTAATATAATGTGTTACATTAGTTGATTTTTGGTATTTTTTTTAAGTATTGGTGGGCCATGACTTTTTTCCTGATCATTGCTTTTTTCATATCTATCTATCTATGTAAGTTATATACCCAATGTGGAGCTTGAACTCACAACCTTGAGATCAAGAGTCACATGTTCTACTGACCAAGCCAGCCAGGTACTTACATTAGTTGATTTTTGAATGCTAAACCAGCCTTGCATTCCTATTTGTTTATATATTAAAACATAAATTTTTAAATGTTGCAAACCCAAGAATATAGTATTATGATGATTGCTTTGTAATCCAGTGTCTTTTGAAGAGTCTAAGACAAAGAGAAAATATATGTAATGATTTTTGTATTTAAAAAAAAACGTGGCTCTTGTGACAAAAGAATTGAATTTTTAAATTTTATGTAATTTCATTAATTTTAATTGTCATATTTGGGTACTGGCTACCATGTTGGACAGTGCAGGGATAGAGAATAAGGCAGGTACCAAGAGAGAAAGTCCTATTAAGACAGGACCTTCAGGGAAGGGGGTAACCTTTAGCAGATCTAAACAAAGGAGGGAGTGAGTCAGAACCTGGACTTTTCCCAGAGCAGCAAGCCTAAATTTAAGTGTTACTAAGCAATAATTACTGCACTGCCATGGCACCTTTTTAAAGA